GCAACGAAATTTGAGGGGATTGTTGTAAAAATTTAGACCGCAAAACGGTTGCTATGCACAAGTTTATGGCTATGACGGTTATTTCAATAATACAATTTTAATTGAGAGACCGATCTTGAAGTAAATACATATTGGTCACAGTAACGAATGACTGATAAGACGTGGTGGGAACTAAGAACAATCAATGTTCAAATGTCACCCCTGAATTTATCATTTTTTGTTGTTGTTTTTTTATTGTCCAGTCACTGTGAATAACGCTGACATTATAGGAAAAAAATAATGAGTTGAAAATAGGAAAGGTTGAACGGCAATAAAGCAATTATTTATTTTATTTTTACGTTTTTGAGCTGAATTTTTCAGGATGATGTAGCTGTAATATTGTCCATTCATGAGTAAGTTATTTTGTTCAAAATATTTGTTTTATGAATTTGTCTATACATATACGTTGTGCTTTAGTAAAAATGCTTTATGTGGCATTAGAGATGGCCAAAAGCGGGCCCACTATGCCCATTCACATAGCGTTTATACAGCTTGCGGTTTTTTGAAATTAAACGGAATGACATAAAACATTTACACATGACAGGTATCTTAGATTTCATGATACTAATTACAGTTTATGGAAGAATGTGCTATGTTAAGAGCTTTGCTTGTTGTGACGTATTATTCATACGAGAATGATAATACGATTTCTGGCTGCGTTGGCTCCCGTTCCATGGAAGAATAATTGAAATGAATTTATTACGCTAAAAACCAAATACTAGTAGTTTCCGGAAAATATTACAATTTCACTTTGCCGTCCTTTAAGTTATCCACGAACCAATGTATTATTTGCTGATGTAATATAATTGTGTATTAGTGTCTCTATCATTTTATTTATTTGCATACGTAATATATTCATTCCGATTTTATTAACTTGCGCTGACTTCTTATTATTTTGTTCGTTTTGAGGTAGATTGATTTATTTTGCGGGCCGTTTGGCTAGCTGTGGATCGTTCCCTGTTTTTTCAACGGCCATATAAATAACGCTTATTTTAGATACAATAAAGAAAATATAACAAATATGTATTGTCAATAGAACTACGAAAGTCCCTAACCTTACTTATATTACATTTATAAAAACCCATGTAACATCTAGTAAGCTGACTCAGAGCAACTAAATAATTAAACACTACATGATACACCATACGATAATATTGACAACAAGTTGTTCGTAAAAGGCATTAATAGTTTGGTCTAGAAATGATAACATTCTTCATAAAACTTCTCAATGAAAATAACGTATAATACCCATGTAATGACAAACAATTCTCAGTGTTAGCAACGAATAGACTATAACAGACCAATTGATGAGTCGGCGTTATCAATGACACAAAAGTTGTGTTTCCAATGTTCGACGGTCCGTAGATAGTATAAAACAAATACACAAGAAATTTGGTCCCTACCGTGATTTTTGAAAACGCAAGCAGACCAGGCGCTACTTATCTAACGCTCGCTACTATTTTAGTGAGTGATGTCAGATATCAATAAAAAAATGACAGGTTGATGAATAATATAGTGCTGAATAGGTTCTAATTTTTTTTACGATGTTCATCATAACTTACCTCACCTAACAATAACACTGAAAGAACAATTGTACATGCTCAGAATAAATTGTTTCGGTTAGTTATAAATAAATAAGAGAAACCTATGTATTAAAGTAGTACTCATAGAGTATATCAAAATGAGCTTTCTAATCTTGAATTTTCTACCAACAAAATAATGTCAAAAATATTTGTATTATTCTAAATAAAAAAGTTATTGATATATTAACAATCATTGCACAAGATATTAAAATCATTTTGCATCAAACATATATAAAAGTAGTTTATGAATCCTATAATTATATCATAATATTGAGTACTGTGTGAAGCTTCATTTTCTAAAGGTGGCGTAAATAAATTGAAGGAAAGAGTTGTTAAGTTTTAAGAGGCCAGGTCCACTTTACATTCTTTGGATAGCCTTAGTTATCACTTTGACATCCTTTTAGTCGCAATATCACATTCGTTTATTAACTTATTAACATTGTTATTTATTAACTTTATTTGACAATTTGATGATAGTAGAAAATACTCAAAACTAATGGAGACCCACCTCCTCCAAAATTTACTGGGTTTAACGATAGCCGATGCATATATATATATAATTTAAAAAAAATCACGCAATAAATCTGATAGCAGAAACCAACAAGTAAAAAAACAAATGAACTTACAATTCAGACTAACTTACTGATCATGCTGTGAATGGTTAATGTGTACAATGAATCTACATACATAATGTAATATATGTAATTGCGACGTCAGTTTATAAAGCCTGCATTGAATATTACCATGTTTCACCGGAATGTGATATCTTGCCTTTATTTGGTCATATGTATGGACATTATGCGCATTGTCCCTCAAAACAATGGGCATATCTAAATTCACCACTTAAACGTTGCTTACGATGTTTACTGACGTTTTACATTTGTTAATGCATTTGTAAGTTTTATATTCCCAAAATATTTAATAATCGGCAACCTATAATCTAACATAACTTACAACCTGTGAACTGCATTTTGATACAACATCACAGAGCTTGGCACCCACACATTGCTGCTTGCGACAATATTTCACATTTTATATATTTTATTTACAGATCAATTAAAATGATGTTCACAAATATACCGGGATTGAAAACTGCTTTTGTTTTAATGATTGGATTTGTGGCTGGATCAATTTTAACTAATTTGGTAAGTTGAAATATAATTTGTGTTTCGTATGAAATGCATAAACAATGCTTGTGATATTTCACATTCCTTGTTATATCATTAACATGAACAAAGACGGTGACAACGTGCTCATTGATATATGTTAAATTCTATATCACATTATAAATATATGGATTCCATTTTGTACATTGAATGTTTCTTCCAAATGACTTATCAGTGACACTTTTACCTCAATAGATTTTTTCATTATTTTAAAGAAATGAAAATATGAAATGAAACTGCAGGCAATACGTTTTCCTCTATGTTATGTATTTATTTGCATATACAGATTTTGTTAATAAAACAATATACCATTGATACATTTATTAAGCAATATCGTTTCGACTATTTGTTTACATCTTGGTTTGAAAAAAACCCGCTATCAGTGATAATTATTTTATAATTATATAGCAAAATGGATGGCGTTTACTTTGTAGCATTTAATCTATTCTTATCGGGGTTCGTTTCATTAGTTCCATGGATTTTGTTTTCAAAATTCATTCTGACTCGATTTTTTGCCATGGTGCATGCACTGAACATTGTACCACCCAATGACATAACGTTTACTAAGAATGCATAATGGGGACTATGTTATTCGCTGGCAGCGACGTATATAGTTGCATGCACAAGTGTTTACAGCATACATAATATTTATATTACGAACTGTTGTCTTCATTGGTTAACGAATTCGATAATATCTGTGGTCTGTGGCAAATTTGTTCAGAAAAATTAGTTCAACAGACTACTGAAAACGGCGGTTGTATTTTGTCATTTTGATCCTGTGCTAATAGATAATTGTTACATAGTTTTATAAAAGCCATTTAGTACGGTCAACAACAAAACGTGTTTTTTTTTTATTTCAGCTAAAATATGATACAGATAACTTCGTTTTTGGACTTCAAAAAGCGGTAATGATGGGACAAGTGACAAGGAGAGGTATGGCCAATCAAGAACATTCCAATCAATTAAATCGTACGACTAATACCGTAAATATGAACCAAGCTGATACCTTTGAAGACAATATAAATCATCCACATATCTCTAAGATGACAGATGATGTCAGGTTCCCTTATAAGAAATACACAGAATTTGCTATGGAATGGAAAGGTATTGTAGATGAGTATGAATGGATGTACAGTAATTTGAAAAGAGAAATTGGAACAAGCAAAACACCTTTTGTTATTGGAAACGAAAACTTTAGTTTAACTTCCACAGTAAAAAGCAGGTAAGATATAAGAAACACTGTTATATTATGCGAAAACACAGGTATTCGTGTACGGGGAAAGACAAAGTATATCCAAATTCTCCTAAAACAGAATCAAGTTTTAAGATGTTGTGCTTGAAAAACTACCTCACAACTGTTATTTTGTTAGCAATCCATACATTGCAGGATTTGATTCTGTTCTAGTTTAGTTACGGTAAATGTAATAATCTTACCAGACCTCGCTTATCTTACCAGGTCTGGAACATCTTTCTTAAACGGAATTTGACAACAGAACTAACACTTATGTTGAACCATAACATTAACGCCAAATTACCAAAATTTAATAAACCAGAAAAATGGGAAGACAAAATCAAATTTTGTAGAACGAGCAGTCTTATACAAATCAGATATTTACAAATACTGACACAGTTATTGGCTTAATAATATGAGAAATTCTCGTAATGTAAATGTGACAATTTTACCAAAGTTAAGGCAATTGCGTAAATAAAGTCAATAACGATGAGATATTTAGGTAATGCCTGATCCAAGTCATTATTAAAGTGTGTTTCACTTAATCTCGATGTAACCATCTTCACAGTTGTGGTGTAACAATTTAGTTGCATTTTGCCAAGGGTGATTATTATTATATTCGATATTAATATTTAGTGTCAAATATGGGTCAATTTGAAGTCGACTCTGGGATAAAAATGTCTACACTTACTTTCACGAGCAACATTTTATTTTCTAGAGTGTATGTGTATGGTAAACGCAAGATATTTAAAAAGGGAGACACGGTACATATAGTGGTAGAAGCATATGATAAATACGGTAATGCGAGAAAGAAAGGTGGGGACTTTCTTCAGGCAATCATGTCAAATAAAAAACTTGTTAAAAGCACTGCTGGGCGAGTACTCGACTATGGGAATGGTACGTATTCTGTGTACTTCTATGCTGCTTGGGCTGGGCAAGCAAGTATTGATGTTATTAAGCCATTTTCACGAGAGTTTATACTGTATATGAACAATGTTTTGAGGCACAAAGAGCTACGTATACCAAGGGACGGCGATTTTGGCGATGGAGTCAACACATATAAGGGTGTTTGCTACTTAATCCATGATCGTCGGTGGGAAAATATGTGTACCTATGAGAATAAAAACTCACTTGGTCAAACGGTATTGGTTTGTGATAAACCCAAAGACCCATTGCAGTGCAAAGATATTGTCAATGTTACTGCTTATACTACATACTTACACAGGGTAGCATCTGAAGATGTGGCAGGAGCTGATTATATATTCAAAGAGTAAGTAACCAGAAATCAAAAAAATCTTATTCATAATTGCGTATATAATTGTCTATTGCATACTATGGGCCATTGACTCAAAAGCACAATTTTAGCATTAGTAAGACTATTGATTACACAAGACATTGAAAATGAACACAGTCCCCGTTAAATTTGAAAATTCTCTTTGTGATCGTCATGTAAAAACGTAGGGGTTGTCGCGAGCGTGTTCTTGAAACTTGAGTACCAATTGGCGTATACAACATATAGTTTATTTACATCAAATTCGAACACGTGTTGCGTGACGACCCATCCGGTTTAAGACGTAGCAAAGAAAAACATAGATCACAAGTGAAAACATGTCACATTTTAAACAAACAAGATGGCCGGCAGTCGGCCATATTTGATCAAATTGCAAATTGAATTGACATTTACTTAAATATCAATGAAAATGATATATGTGTGACAGAGATATAGTAATATGGCCAAAAATAAAAACAACCGTTATTCGGCTATCTTTGATCTGATTATGAAACAAACTGACATGTATGATGTATGTGCCAAATGAAAATGGTACATAAATCTTTG